TATTATTTTCTCTATGGCTATCTATGTACGTCCAACTTCAACTATTTATTCGCTTACTATTCTATCTAGAATATTCTTGACTAATACCAGTTTCTAGTATTTTCCCCTGAGGCTGGTTCGCAGTCTTACTACTAGTTGCTAGAAATTTCTAGTGATGTCCAGATTAATCTATGATAGAATAGTGGTTTCGTAAAGTTGTGAAGCACGTGATTAACATCATGTGCCACAGGGTAATTACCGGCTCACTAGCCGTTACAGGGGTGAGGAACCAAGATCAACAGACCTCCAGAATAGCACGAGACTCTGATAAATTGTAATGCTAATGTAATGTTGTTCACGTTGCAGTCCGGGCGCAAGATGAGGAAAACTGTACTTATATGGACGATATCCTGCATTAATACAAAATCAAGTTACATCTAGTCTTAAGCTCTATGATACATATTAGTAGTTTGGAGCCACGAGACACCCGTAACCCACACCATCACAAAGCTAAGCTCATCTCACTTTCACACATACTAATCCATCAGGAACCTCAGGGCTATGGTTATAAATAAAACTTGGTAGACCACAAAAATAAATAAATTGACTCAAAAAATATCAGGATTTTCTCCCTCATCAAATACCAACTAGTAAAATCTCATCAAATAAATCTCTTTCTATGATTTCATTTGTAACTCTACTCGTCGACTGGGGAGTTCATTAAGCAACCGAGCTTTGTGTTACATTAGAGTAACCACAGTATTGACCTCGGGGGTATAATATTGACAGAACGCCTATTTTTGTTGCTTAAGTTCTTTTCCCTACACAATGTGGCAAACCGTGCTCATGGACCTATGTACAGGATCTAAGTAAGACAGAAGGTAAGGATACACATTTATCATCGCAAAAATATTGTGTAATCTGAATGGACCATTAAGAAGTGTAAGTCTGTTAGTTATATATATATATCGCTCTATCGAAGCCTATTCTATCTGTACTAGCAGCTAATCGCTGAGCCAAGAGCTTCTACGGCTACAGCCATTTCTTAAAATTGAGCTTTATCTCACAATTATTTTTTGAGTCTGCATATTTATAATGTATTGGTAGGTAGGTAGTTTATCATTTGCATTTTTGCGGCTCGTTGTGTCGGACTTTTGGGCGACACGGCCACAATTAGCAAAATAACAACCAATTCGCATAAAGAGGACCCTCTACACCAATGCACACGTGTATATTCCCAAGCCATATATATCATTTGAAAAATTTCTGGCATGATGTGGTATTCTAGACTAGTGATAGCGATAAATTAACTTGACGCAGAAATTTCGAGATCGATGAGGAGCTCCTAAGAAGTCTCTAATTTACAGCTGGCGTGACAAAGCTGGTATTGAGGGGCCTTGAGAGGTCATAGGCAAAGATATCACCCATCTGCTCAGCTATGCTTTGCTATCTGTATCGTATACGACTGAGACTGGACTAATTTTCCTACCCCGATGCAATAAGCCGAAGTGATGAGTTGCTGCGAATTAAAATCACCAACTCCTACTGCCGAACAGCACCTACTACAACATCATGGTAGGATGCTTTACCTAGTCATTAGGACGAACTAATTATGAACTGCTGACTCGGGAAATTGCTATGCCGGCCCTCTTTTAATCTCATGTGTAGAATATATGCTAATTCCCTCGAAGTCCTTACTAATCTTGATAATTGAGTGGACGATTATTTGATTGCCAAATTTTTTACTCTCCTCAACCCACGCAGGCGAGTTGGAGACACGTCTAGGTCGTTGCGGTGAGTCGGGAGGTTGCCAGCAGAACGTTTATGGCAATTTGGGCTAGCAAGGGTTGAACAAGAAGGGGATGAAGTGACGGAATAGCTCATTGGTCATAATAAAAGAATTATTTGGCATAATATCGCCCATATAGCATTCAGTTTTATTATTACTCATGAAATGCTGAGTACTATCATTACGGGCCAAGCTAACTGATCGCTGTATCTGGATGTGATATGTTGTAATACGGCAATCGATCATCGATAGACACGCTTTTTGCGTTTCAGAGAATCAAAAGTATCAGAGTTTGCTGGCGGTTCGATGCCTCAAACGATGCTATTTTTCCCATAATCGCCCCTCTGAGTTACCACAACATGTCTTGGCAAGACGGATGCCTCCAAACTAACAAGCACTACACAACTCGAACTGATTGTCGAAATATCTTCTTTACCCCGAATAAGACTGGTAAGAAGGTACTGATCTCGCATGGCCGACCATTCTGCTCGATTCATTACCGCCGAGGCCAAATGGGTCCGGAGCGGATCAACAGAAAATACGAGACCCCCTACTATTTAGACTCTGCCACTTGAAACGCCCCGGCATAATTTCATCCCATGCTCGAACAGCACAATGTCAAGACCTATATAGCTTCATTTAAACATGATGAAGAGCCACTGTTATAGCGCTGTCATTTAAAAATAACCCTCGCATAATATTTTCTTTGCGAGTACATCATCAAGTCACTCTTTCTCTTGAAATCATACAATTCACCAGTAACGGTTACATGTGTGAACCGTAGTACTACTTTTATCTTGCAATATTCCAACTTCTAACCTCCGCACTTACATTGATTAGAGCATATACATTATGTTGCACAAAAGCTTTTACGAAATGATAAACGGAGTTCTTCCCAACCGAAATTATCGATGTATGGTAATAGTGGTCTTGATTCTTAACGTTCTTATTATCAACCATTTCTTTGTCGGCAACACCCTTCTTAGCACAAATCTCTTCAAAATACCTACTGTACCTGTCGAAATAGAACTTCCATGGAGCTTAATCGATCCCAAGAGTGTCACCGAAGAGTCTTTAAGCACATCGGATTCGAACCAGTCACCAGAATTGCAAGAAAAAGTTAGGCTTTACACACCAACAGACCCGACTAAGTATCCCGAACTAGGTCCAGGTCCTACACCGGCATTGATAAGTACTCACGATTATGCCTTTGATGGACCCTATGTTGGATGGCCATTACAGCGGCTCTGCAATGAAGTAAAACAGACACCAGGGCTAGTCTTTCTATGTGATAACAACTCTGGCGGAGTGGGTAATATCAGGAATTTCATCCTCACCTGCATACGATACGCAATCGAGGCTGGCGCAAGTGGTATAGTCATGCCCAAAATCCAGCGACGTTCAGCGGAAGATCTTTCAGACCTCTTCTCAAAAGGTTTCCAGCCCTTCTATTATTTCTTTGACCAGCAACACTTTAAATACGCCATGAGCACATATTGCCCGCAGGTTACGGTCTATGATCAGGTCACTGATATACCTAATGTAGAGTTTGTGCGAAGCCTAACTGGATTCTATCCCAAAAATTTGAACAAAGACTTCGACGGCTGTGATGAAAGAGGCGTGAACCGACATCTAGACTTCTTCCGCGAGAAGTTTGACGCATGGATTAGAAATACAAATCAAACACTCAATGCGCAGCATCCAACAACCGTCCGATTTAAGTGGGCGACCTTCTTTGAGTGGCCTATTTATCGGGACGGTCCTGAATTTGCCAACACTTTTGGTGATTTGCTTCGCATTCGACCCGACATACAACACATGGCTGCTGCAACAATCAGAGAGCTATCCGCAGCAATGGGTGTCCCTCCAAATCCTTCGGCCATAGAGATACCCTTCCTCGGTGCGCATTTGCGTACTGAGAAAGATGCCCTCTCTATCTGGCCCAAATTTAACCAGCAGACTGATGGTTACTTGGAACAAGCTATAAAGGGAAAGCATACACATATTTACTTAGCCTGTGGCAATACTACTGAGGTTGATCGTTTTGCCGAGAGAGCCTCCCACAAGAATATAACCGTACTAGCCAAAAATGATTTGCTGAAGGGTGATGATTTTGCCGCGCTTCAGGCTTTAACTTGGGACCAGCAAGCTCTTGTTGACTACCTTGTGCTGCAGAAGAGTTCTTTCTTCACCGGCTGCTCTTTTAGTAGCTTTACAATGAATATTGCCGTCAAACGTCACACCATGACATCTGGTATTCACTCACGGCAGTGGCGGAGTCCAGGTGATCAATACAGCTGGCTAGTTGGTAATTTCGAAAGCTGGTACGGGGATTGGATGTTTATGCTTGAATGCATGTGGCCTTAATACTGGCCCCCAAAATTGGGAATATGACGGACTTTGATTCATACCTAATAAAAATCTTCCTTATCGGTACTACGGGCTGGCGTCGCACTGGTCATATCCATAATATATATACAAGGAGTGCGTTGGCGTTAGATCCTAGATTTTTACGTGCAAATATCTAAAGCACGCTTTATACCCAAACACGCAAATTCTCCCGGCTGGTCACTATCAACTTAGACAACGGCCAAAAATAAAGATCCTTCAATGCGTCCTCATATTTACCACCATTTTAGAAAACTCTTCCCGAATCTTCTGAGATGAATGTAAGCAAATATCAAACGCCATCTCACAAACCAAGTAATTGAATATATCAATAAAGTGTGTGATACATGTTTGGACGGCTTAATTCGATGATCATCTTCTAGGGATTTGATTAAGCAATAGATGATACCCGGCATGTAGACAAACTATAACCAATAAAATAATTTTAAGTATCGAAGAGGGAAGAGAGAGAAAGTGGCGGAGCAGTGACAGTGACGGAATGCAATAATTATGAGGTGGAGAAGTATCGAGACTCAATGTTGTTGGCAACGTCGGCCGAGGTCGCACATTCTCATATCTAACTACAGCAAAAATTGCCGGTTACCCTGTAATTTAGTCTCTAGATTTCACGTAGATATTCCTCTCATCTACCGTTCCTTCGAACCTCTATGAATTATATCGGCAATTCGGATTTCATGGGTGTAAAGATGTGTCTGGCCGATGTGAATAATACAAAAATCGTACGCTGAGTTATTGAATTCATACTTTTTTTATGAGGTTCGTAGGGCAAATAGTGATGTAGAATTATCTGGGAGTCTTTCCTGTAGCCTGATTTTTCTTCCATTTAGCCTTTAGAATTGTGAGATTTGAATTTAGATTTCTTTGTCATAGATTTTTCATCTACCTCACGGGGCAATTTTTGACTCAGGTTAATCTTGCTAACTTCATCGAGTCTCACTGTTGAGCTCACCTTTCGCATCGGCGGCGGGACTCTAGTTTCTTTAATATAAGGTTTATCGGATGTTTTATTTCTTGCGGTTTCCTTGAGGTCAGGTCCTGTAGAGTATAGTTTAGCGTCAGATTTAATGCCCAGAATTTCATCATCAGGCTCCGGACAGCTTTCCTCCGATGAGGATTCCATGCCTATTATTACTGGATTTTCACTCCTACAGCCGATGGGGTGAAAACGCATCCGAAGTCCCTTGGGTTGAGCTCTTGGTAGCCTGTATGATGGGGTTTTGACCGTTGCATTATTTGTATCAACTTGAGATCCAGAAGTGGAGGGTAAGTTTACGATTCGTTGAAGTTGAAGTATCTGTGTTATAGGTTCTGGCACTATTCAATGGTGAGTCATGGCTATTGAAAATACTCGTTAAGTCTTACCAAAACTGTATCCATTCTTCGAGGCTGTAGGGGTTAGTACTTTTGGAAAGTTGTGTTTATCAGCCGACTCAGGGAAAAACCCAAATTCATCCCCATCAAATTCCACCAGCGGCGTGCCAGTCGTTAAGGCTGCTAACGTTAGATCTTTCAATGATGAGACTTCTAGAGATATTGGCGCCGTGATATACCAAATCTGTTTTCCTTGTAAATTTGATTTGCTGAGAAAGTCGGGTGAGTTGGGAACTTCCTTCAATTCAAAGGGCTGAAATCCTGGAGGCGGCTTAAATGTTGTTGCGAGTGTCTCTTCCCTGGGCTCCGATTCATCCGGCTTACTATGAAAGAAGAATGGTTAAAATTATGATTTTCAGGTCTCAAACATTTACTCACTTGTTCGTTGGTAAGCTGTTTACATCTTGAGTCACATGCAGATTCTCTTCGCTGTTGACTTCACTTTCTCCAATATCCAAAGATTTTGATTCTTTGGATGCTACTGGATTGATCTTCGTTTTTTTCGCCTTCCTATCGTCTCTAGTCTCAACCTCGGGCCTCTTATTTCTTGACTTGTGTAGCTTGTCATTTTTGGCGCTGCCAACCGTAGTCTTGACCATTTTTATCTAGTTCTGATGTGATCCTCTTACTGTCGGTTTGGTGCCTACCCTGATCAATTTTTTTCGCGTTGTCCAGATAAAGAGTTTAGCAAAATTTAACAAAATTTAGTTATCGGTTTCTTCTAATTACTGGGTCACAGCTTGACATGATGGGATGGGCGAATACGTATTATCTGTTGAAGCTCACAATTTGGCGAGGCTTGTCAATAATCAGCCTTGCTGTACAGTAGTTATACTTCAAATCATAGCCTTTTGCATAGAGTACTATGTCAGGGATAAATTATCATCTGTATTAGCACGCCAGTACATGCATGGTGTCCTCTACCAACCTGGGAGTGAAATATTCTCACAGATCTGAGATTCAGTCACGTCAAAGGGTGAATTTGAGAGTTTTCGTGCAGTTGGCGATCGAGAGGAGTGATGTTGGCTCATTTTTGGTCGAAAATCCGACTTGCAGAGATTTCACGACTGCACAACTCAACGAAATCACCCATCTACACCCCAGATACAAACCGCAGACAGGCCATAACCTGTCTGATGTTCGTGTCACAAAAACCGACACCTTAATGATCTATTTTCCTTTTCTCTGGAAAATCATTCCCAGCCAAACTCATCTCGGGGCCCTCTCAACAATCATCTCACCACCTATCAAAGCAATCCCATACCTCCAAAAGCCAAATCGCCAACTAAGAAGCAAGAGGATGTCTGACCCTCCGCAATTTCCAGTCGCTGTGAAGGTACGGTCGAAATACCGGCCTTTGATGTGTCCTCACCTCGGCCAAGGGCACCAATAACTCGACCTGCGACGAATCGCCACCGACGAAATACGTACGAAATTTAGCCGACACACCAACCAGAGCGTTCGACAAAGGCTGGGGCACTGGTGCCTCGGTCTTGAGCTCTCAGTCGGGTTTTCGACCTCCACGGTTAGGGGTACGGCAGCGACGGGGCAAGGACAGAAGGTTGGACATTCTACAAAGTTTCTGGGTTGACGAGATCGGCTGAAGGATAGAAGGATACTGTATGAAGGAACCAAAAGGGAACACAAACTGAGGAAGCCTTGGTGGGCGACTGGATGAGGCCTCCAGTGAAGAAAACGACCCCTGCATGAGATGAGGAGATGCTGAGATGAGCCAAAGCTGGGAATGAATCGAAGGGAAAAGTTACAGATTTCGGAGGCGTCAAGGGCTCGGGCGCGTGGTGGCTGAGGCTGAGGAGGAATTTACGCTTCGGCGCGCCAAAAGGGGATCCCTGGACGGTTGGGCTTGACATGATTCAACACATGGGTGAAGTCTGAGGTGGTCCGGTCATTTAGGTGGGACGAGGTAGATTTACTTAATGGTAGTTAACCTGATCCAGGTCCCACCCGTGCTTAAGCTCCAGTAGGAGTGCAACGGGGTTCACTTTACCTAGCACGTAAATGAACAAGACAAGACAAGACGCCAGTATATGCAAGGCGCGGAGGAAAAAGACTAAGCACATGCACGCAACGTCCACTACGAACCTAGGAGTGAACTATTCCTCTAGTCAGAGTTCAGTCAAATTTCGCAATACCAACGATTTTAATCTACGAATTAATGATTCAAGACTCTTCACCAAACCATTTTCTTCTACCCAACTAGATCGATCCTCACCACAGCCTCATCAAGTTTTTAAGTACGACTTAATACATCCTTATTTTAATGACCACACCTCTCATTGACTATTCTCAGGCCTCAGCCGCTGACTCTATATATGCCCACAACAATACGAATATCAATGTGAGGACAAATATGGTAGCGCAAAAATCTGGGAGGAAGTTTTTTTGGACGGACGGGAGAGACATCAGGACAAGATTATAAGATGATGCAAAGGAAGGATATAGTTCTTGACGAGCATGAAATCTCAAATTTCTGCAAGGAATTATATAAATTGAGCTTTGCACGCACCAAGACTTTGATTGCGAGAGTGCAGGCGACACTATAAACACCATTATGGTAGGATAGTGCGGTGGTACATCGTCTTGGCAGGTCTGGACAGTTGGGACCTATATCTCACTTGAGACAGTAGACTGCTAGTTCGAATCCGGCAAAACACAACTACATTTCTCGTGGCACTATAATACATGGATGACGAAGGAATGCTTGGATAATCAAAGGTTTCGAAACTTTCCTTAGACGGGTTCTCATCGGGGAAGGTGAATTGTCTGTGTTAGAAAACATACCCATAGTAGATTTTGCGAACGAAATCTAGAGTATGAGTGTCTCTAATGCCAAAAGAGTCATCCAATATGTATACGCAGCACCGATTTTATGTCATAGCTCAATAGCTGAACACACACTAAATGATATAAGAAAAATGTATGCATGCAAGGCGCTCAAATCTATCACGCCAAGTCCTATTCAGGTGTTAGATAAATATATGTGCAATCTGCTAACATGAAATCAAAAGCTAATATGGTTGAATAGTTACAGGCACGAGGTTACTACCGTTTTTTTCTTTTCTTTTCTAACCCGTACTTAGTTTCGTAGCTATTTACGCGTCGGAATCAGGTTGGGTGTACCTTGAGTATCGTTCTGACTGTCAACAGCGGTTGACCCACAGTGGACTCAGAGCTACAGCACAGGACCTTCACAAAATAAAGTTCAAGGTTAATGTTATAGTACCATCTTATGCATCATTATTTGATCGTAGTTGTTTCCAATCTGTAAGGAAGTCAGTAAGGCTCAAAAACCGTCAGATACGTCTCTACGATCTTCAAGCTCTCACTAGAAGGTATATAGTGAAACTTAGTCTAATACAAGGGAGAAAGGCTTTAGCTGCTAGTGAGCCTACGTCATCCCCTAGCGCCAAAGATCATATATAAAAGTCAAGCTGTGTTACTTTATAGCTCACACTTATATAGAGTCGACAAAGACGAACTCTTCAACTCCAAACAGTGCCGGTGTAGTCGCACGTTAAGCTCTACACATCTGGAATATGGAGAGGAGCATCATCCGAATCGAATATATATCGATAGAAAACACAAGCAAATCCATAACTGGCGACTTCTCATCAATATCAGTCTTATCATTCTTATGTGAGTCTTTCAGCTTGATCTTATCATTTTCCGTCTCGCCTCATTGACAGATCAAGGGGCTTTTCAAACTGCAAATATGAGCCGCCATGCTCGGGCTTAGATTATCCGAGGGGCTTCGACAGTGGGTGCCAGGGCAACGACTTCGTATAGTGCTACATACAATTAAAAGATAGGACAAACAAAGATTGTTTCTATGGATGGAGATGTGAGAACATGACTTCGGTCAGTATAGCAATATTTATTTTTGCGTCAGATTCCAACTACATATGAAGTTATCTAGCATGACATAAATTCAAAGAAGGGTGCAGCTGATACTGTTAACACAAGTCAACGATAGAAGGTGCCGTAGTCCGCCTCCTGGTGGTATTCTCTGGTGTAGTTTGAGTAGCCTAGGCATCTACTCCACTTGGGAAGGAGACGCCTCAGACCATATTTCGTGCGGAGACAAATCAGTGGATGATGGAGGTAAGTCTGGAGAATTGGGAGGTTTTGAGATGTTCCCCTGGGTGGGTATTCACGGATGGGGTTGACTTGGGGTGAAGAAAAAGCCACCACAACCTCGCAGTGGTACTTGCAAATGAAATCCGAGGCATGAGTGCTCTTCTTGTAAATTGAGTCATCTTTTCTATACTTTATCTCCGATTTCGTGTCATAGCTAGATAGCACATTGTCATAGCTAAAAAGCTGAATACTGTTCGAAATTCTGACTCTCGAATTTAGGACTCAATCACTACCTGTTTCGTCTCTGGTTCCTGACAAGATCGACTCTCTCTACACATGTCCCGAGTATGCTAATCGCGCCTACTGTCGCCTATACGTTTGGATATTTACGTACTACAGTGTACCTTGGCTCATCATGGTAGATGAGAGGTGGCTGGTTATCACTAGGTTTGACAGGTACACGAGACTAGTGGGAATTCTTCCCCTAAAATGTATATATAAGTCCAATGTTCCCATACTTGTAAAATATCAAGTCTTCTTTCATCATATTTACCCATATAATATAGTACAGAGTATATTTTCCAACAAATACAATATGAATTAAAATGACAAGGGCCCAAAGCAGTCTAGCGATTCAAATACGAAGTGAGCACATGGGCTCAACTCGTATTTATATAGAAAAAAAGTACCCAGAGTCTACAGTCCAAGCTGTCCATGTAGCTACCAATTGCTGAACCCCAAGCATGTGATTATGTCCTGTCCTCGATGGTCAAATGAAAGAGGAGAGACCTGGAGACAAGCGAAAGATCGGTCCTACGAAGTTATGCTAAGCAAACCTGGAGATATCAAAAGGATAACACAGTGGATCCCAAATCATGGTTGGATAGAGCAATTCTAGATGACAAAGGCGGTCGAAATGCTGCTGAGGGAAAGGAACAGGTCATGCCTTTCTTGAGGTCGATAAAGCTGATGTGACTGGGCTATATGGAGGGCACTATAGTGTAACTGCGCTTCCTAAAGGATACATTATAAAAAATATAGAATTTAAGCAGGAAGGTTTGGGGGGTTTTCACCAAAGGGTTTCCTCCCATGTAAATTAGAAAGTACGATAGACACGTGCATGGGCCCATAGGGCGCCAAATCAGGATAATGAAATCAAATTCAAATATGAATTAAAAAAAAAGCTAGATAACTGCAAATGCAATTAAAATATGATGCCAATAACATAGAGAAAATTTACGTAATAGATGACTTAAGATAAAGAGCACTCATGCTTCAGGTATCATTTGTAAATACCACTGATTCTACGGGGGAGAGAGAGGGAGGTGTGTTTATTGTACTACTTGAATCTTGGACTATCTAGCACTTTTGGCTCCTCTCTGACCCATATCACACCTTTAACAGCGCTCCTATCCTCTTCTGTTACTTGAAATATCATTGATATGTTACCCGTGATGAATAGCCATTCAGCTCAGAATTTACCCGTGAAATTCGGCCACCTTTTCCACGGAACTTTCTACCCAAAAAAATAGCAATGGAAACTGCGTGCGCGGGAAAAGCTCTCAAAAAGCCTGCAGCCCCAGCCGGGCGGGGCCCAGACACGGAGACCACACGAGATGCGCATATCCATCTGTATCTTCCTTCTTTGTAACATCCGAGGCCAACTTGATCCAATCCACCATTGCCGTATCGGGTGCTTGGTACGCTCCGGAAACTCATCGGATAGCTTTTCCTCCATGAACAAGAGAATTTGGTGGATAATGAGTAGGGCCTCGAACCTACAATCTGATCTGGTCGTGGTTAGCTTCAAGACAATGGTGATAGGGGGTTGTGTTGAGAGATAAAGACGATATAGACCGCGAACCCGATTGGGAATCCCCATCGAAGTGAAGACTTTGTTACCCAATCTCGGCTATACAGACTCTATAAAAACAGCCGGAGGTTTATAGGGGACATCACTGGCAGGTGTTGAGAATAGTCCCCCAGCGAGCGGATGAGAGATTACGGCCGCCTTTACCCTTGATGGCATTGTTAGTTCCCGCATCACAAATTTGTATGTACTTGCCATGAGGATGAGCACTAGAATCTAACTGATACTGTGGTGGGTAGATATCTTTTGGAACTTCACAGTTTATATGATTATTTTGTTTTGTTATTGAACGTCGAGTGGGACGCCAAGCTGAAACTTGAGCTCCTGCTTCCTGCTTAGTACTAGACATAGACGCCAGCCCTTATTGTCCTGCGAGAGATGCCGAGCCCCTATACACATACAAAGCAACGCCTGATGTCGCATCCGTGCTACAAAAATAACTTACATGATACACTTTTTCCCTCAGAGACCTGAGTCTTAGACTCTCCTTTCTTGAAGACAAATTACCACGTGTAGTATAATAGCACCGAGAAATATTACTTGGAGTCATTCAACTTGAACTTCTAGGGCAAATTTTTGAGTAGAATTCTGTCTGATCAAGCCACTTGATAGTACTCATTGCCCCATCCCAGGAACCTGAAAAGAATTTTGTCGGATTGCAGAAAGAATCTGGAACTGGGGGAAGACTCTGGATGGGCATAGTACATTGCAGGGAGCGTTCAGGCGCCTTGGTCAGGCTATAGCTGCAAGATACGTGTGCATCTGGGTGATTAAATCGAGAGGGGTTGGAACTTCACAGTGCGCTGCAAGATGATGATGATGATTTTATTTAACGTCTACGCCAATAAGCTCATGCCCTAGAGCATATAATATCTATCCCATTGCCGACAAAGGATGCTAGACCCGAAGTTCTAGAGTTTAGGACTCAGGTAAGTCTAGTCTAAGGATAGGAATTAAAATGCTGCACTACGTTGTCTGAAACTGCAGGAAGGAAAAAGGATATACTTTGAAGCAGAATTATCTACGACTCGTCCTCTGGTAGGGACTGTTTAGGTAAAATAAAAATACAATAAAAATTCTAACAGAGGACAAATATTTTCAAAAAATTGGGTCTCTACCAGCCACTCAGTTAAGATTTTAGCTCCTTCTGGGGTACCTAGTAGGCTGATATGGAGCTGATTAATAGGCCCTGTAGAGCGGCACTTTCATCGACGAAGAATTCGACAAAATAGAAAACGTATTGGAGCTTTTGGTGATCTACAAAGACAGTTAAGTTCGGCTGTTTCATGTTTTAAACGTTTGTGGTAAGCTGCAAAGTCTCCATGACTAGTTCTAGCTACGATAATCTGACCTAGGGCTTTCCGACCTAAGAAGAGCTCTTCTAGAAGGTGTGGAGCGGTCTTAATTTCTAATCGAACATATGAATATGGGATATTCATAGTTTACCAGTTCTTTCGGGCTTCCATCAGCTTTGTGGAGTTCTATTCCAGTAGTGAAATAAAAGAATACTTGGGTGAGTGTTGGTAGGGCATAGCTGCTCCTCTTTTTGCCTCCCAGTCAGCTAGTTCATTACCCTTAATTCCTGATTTTCCAGGAACCCAGCGCATATTTATCTGCCCTTCCTGGGTATGAGGTAGTCGCTTTCTCGATTTCCAAACCTTGGCTGCCTCTAGGGAGTCTGCAAAGATTGATTGTGATGACTTTCATGGTGACATGATAAGCAATTTTCGTGCAACTTCTATGTTATCTATAAGCATCTATGCGTCGTTTGAGAAGCGAGCGGAGGAGATTTTATTAGCAGCACGAATTTCTTGGAGGGCAGCATGAGCTTCTGCATCATATGGATCTTTAAATTTTCCAAGTAGAAATGCTCCAGAACAGACTCTAATTCCGAACTGGAATATAACATATCCATCACCTGAGTTACCATCTAAGAGCTTTGATCCATCTGAATAAATTTTGATGTCCCTTCCAGATAGAGTGCTCAAGAAGTTAAGGAACCTGCTAACACTTGTATTTCTTGGTCCCAAGGGACCGTTGGTACGAATTAGTGAGTCTTTTTTGGTCTCTTCAATTATCTAAGGAGAATTTATCAATGGATCAAAATACTCCGAGGCTGGTATGCTTCCACAAGTTCTGGAGAGCCAAGACAAGGTAGGTAGCAAAAGTGAGGCTTCCCCTCGCTGGCGCAGAGGATGATAATGGTCTAGCCTATGTGTACGTACAGCTGCCCTTTGTGAAATATTGTAAAGTGCTATCTCAGCAGGCAATATTACAGATTTTCTAAAAAGAGGTATGGAAGGGGTGGTCCGATAGACTGGAAGGATGAACCATGCAATGACTAGGTGTACTTTTTCTATCGTACTTATGTGTGTACCTACTCTTTTGCACACAGTTTTGCCATTATTTAATCTAGATTTGCTTGGCCACCGAGTCTCAGCCCCGAAGTGAGCAATTGTTAGGATACACGCAACGGCTGCTTATCTAGAGAGTCTAGGTGACATTCCTCGGATAGTGTTTCCCAGATATTTGATAGCACGAGCCATATTAAGAGCCTTTGCAGCCTGTATATCGACTTGATATTTGAATATAAGCTTTTTATCAAAGTGAACTTCTGACCATCTTAGGTATGGGAACTAGATATTCTCTGAAACTGCGAAGCTATTTGTATGTACCACTGAGCTAAGATATTTATCTCTGTGCTTCCTGGTGAAGTGTTCAAGCTCTGACTTTCCTGGATCAAAGGTTATTCCCTCTGTATCATCCCAAGCTAGTGCCTGATTGATTGCAATCTTTAACTTTTCGGCATTTTCTTTCAAAGTTGGAGATATCATCAGAGCTGCAAGGTCATCAGCATATCCAAAAGCTCTCTTGAAGCCTTATAGCTTAAAGAGAGGGGCTATATAGAGCATTAATAGTATCAGAGATGTTGGAGAGCCTTGAGGAAGCCCACATGTTATTGGTCTTGGTTCCCCATCAATGCGGATACAAACTTTGCGTTGAGTAGCAAATAAAAAAACCCAATTGAATAGTTGTGATGGCCAGCCTTGATCCCTTAGACTTCGAATAAGCCTGCGTGAGAGAACTGAATCGAAGGCCCCTTTAATATCAAGTGTGGCTACTGTGGCAGTCATCCCCTTTGATAGTGCAGTCTCAATTTCATGAGTCGTCAAGGTAGTGAGGTCGACACTTGAACGGAGTGTTAATGCCCCAAATTGATGTCGAGCAAGCACTTTATACTTAATAACTATTCACGACATTCGCTTAGCCATTAATCTCTCAAGTCCTTTTCCTAGTACAGATAAGAGAGCAATAGGTCGGTACGATCTTGGAGAGCTCATGTCAAGCCTGTTCGGTGTCAGATTGGTGCGACGGTTTGGGTAGGAGTGAGTAATAATAGAAAAGAGGGATATATAGAGGAGATATCTGATGAGGTACTTGAGGTCACTGATGGAAACTAAAGGTTTGGCTGAAGGGACGAGTGGTTGTTGAAGACGAGTGACTGCTGAAGACTAATGGTTTGGCTGGAGGGAATTTATGGTATCTGAAAAACTAGAGGCTGCTAGAGATGATCTAAAGGTGTAGGTTATGATAGAAGACTAAGTGTGAAGAGCTCGGCTTCAGTAGACCAAGCCCTTATTTATTTACATGATTTCTTTCCATTAATCCATCATGACATAAGTCTTATCCTAATAATGATAGATTAACCAGCGCCAAGAGCTGCGGTATTTTCATAGCCGCTTGGAAGAAGACTAAAAATAAATCCTAAATTAAGAATTCTTAATAAAGATATGTGGGACACGGTATTACGTTGTAAATGTTGACTAATGAACACTATATTTATTTATTTATATTAACGTCGTGCCTGCGCACAATACGGTGCTTTGAAGCCCCATGCCGGTTAGCTCAGCATATGAAGGGCTACCCGACGCACCGGCATTCTCATAACAAAAACCCAATAAAGATCCCACTGCTCCCGGTCCGCATAGTCGCCAGATCAGTGAGACTCTTCTTAAATTGATATAAATTATATAATTAAAAGCGGAACTTAAACTACATGTGGATATTCGTATTTAGATAGCGTTGGTGTCTAAGTAATCAGGGCTGTCCTACAAATGTAGGTGCAAACAGAGCTTCCCCAATTAATGGTACCTTTGAAACTCTTCGAAAAAATAGAGTGGACTTAAGCCAGTCTCGGAACAAGATAGCTCCTTCTGGTGAGCTTAAAATCCAGCGAGCGTCTGGGGGACGGGGCGATTGGCTCCACGAAGCCGCGCCTGTAGTAGGCCATGTTGACAGGTCATGAAATGCTCCGGCGATTTATCATGTCCACAGGAGCATGTTAAAGGTGCGCTGTTGTGTGCGAAACGACGGTGGTATGCTGCAAAATCACCATGGCCAGACCGCGCAGCGAGAAGAAGGCCAAGGGACCGGCGATCCATACTAGCGAGCTCTGGGGTGATGCGGGAGCTTGGCCCGATTCTAAGCGCTCTATACCGGTCAGGGGCATTTCGCGACCAGTATTCCGACGCAGAGGCCTCGTAGCGAAGATTGACAATTCTCCTTGCTCTGGCAATTGAAGGGGCCAGGTTGGGGGCGGTTATAGTACAGGCTGCTTTTGCGAGGGCATCTGCCTTTTCATTTCCAGGGATTCCTGAATGCGCTGGGCACCAGCGTACAGAGATCCTTCCTGGCTCAGTGTATCTGGCACGGTTCCTTGAAGGCCAGGATCTTGCGAGATCCCGAAATTTTGCGATCCGAGTCGAGCTGGATGGGGTCGGCGGTCCAAGGAGTAAGCGAGACGCTGCCTCTTGGTTGTCGAGACAGACAGTGATATTGGTGGCGTAGTATGCCATTGGGTTTCTAATTGCAGCTGCGAGGCCTTCCATGGCCCCGACGACTTCTGCATCATATACTTCTGCTGATTGACCCAGAGGAACAGAGTCTTGATCAATCACATGTTTTGCGCCGCGATTAATGCAGTACCCTGCCCCTGCTGAGCCTTCCATCAGAGCTCCGTCTGAGAAAACGAAGAGGTCCAGGGGCGGTGCTGAGGAATGCCATTGGGTGAAGACTTGGAGCCCTGCTTCACGACCAACTGCTCCAATTGCTGTGAGTATTTCGTCTCTTTTTGGTGTCCAGGGAGGTGAAGTCGTGTTTAATGATAGTTCTGGGGAAATTCTGCGCCGAATCCAAGCCATTCTCGGAGATCTCCAGCGCAGTCGCAAGGGATGTTGGGGATCTGATGAGGCAACTCGCACTGCAAGCCGGTTGTGGATACGTTCGAGCCACCCCTGAGCTGATGACCATCCAGTTTCCTGCAGAAGGGCGGCCACTGGAGTGGTTTTGTATACTGGCAGTGCTGCACGGGCTGCATCGTTTATTCTGCGTTGAATACGGGCAATATCTTCTTTGCAGGTATTTGCTGAGAACCAGGTTTCGGCTCCGTAGAAAAGGGTTGTAAACGCTGCCCCTTGTAAAGCCTGTCTGGCTAGAGCTGGTCGGATACCTCGAGCGGTATTGCAGAGGCTTTTAATGTGCACTGTGACGGCCGTAACTCTACCGCAAGCTTGCTTAATATGGTGGCGAAATTTCAAGCGGCGATCAAAGTGGACTCCCAGCCAACGAGTTTGGTCGTTAGGCCTGATCTCGACGCTGTCTACCCGGAGGCTTGGCTCAAAGGGTTTCCCCTTTTTCCGGTGGAAAT